TGTACCTTTAGACACCTGAGGACAGCTAAGCGCCATTAGTGGTGAGTCCCCACGAGCTTCCAATTCCTCCACGCATAGTGAGGCTTTATTATTAAACATAACACGACCGGTTCGCGGTGTGACGTGTGCGTTCACAAACCACTTCCTTGCTTTACATGTCACTTTCATATGCTGAATATATTTTTTCAACACTTGTCCACAGTTGAACTCCAGCCTAAACAGAGCAGTGAGCCTTCCTACAGTTCCACCCGAGGGGATGCTGTCACAGGGATGTAGTGGTCAGCACACTGGACTTGCAAATCCAGAGGTCGCCGGTTTGAATCCATCTTCTCGCACGACAGTTGAAACCCTACGGGTGCACGATTCCCAAATCCCCTCTGCCTCTGTCCACCCAGCGGTATAACCCGGTACACCTCAGTCGATCGGTAGCTCGCGTGCGGTGCGGTAAAGTGTGAGAATATCCACGACTTCTAAGCCATCCGGTAAACATAAAAGAGTAGGCCAATTATATTCTAGAGGGGCTCCCTACACCTCGCTAATGGAGACCTTCCTGCCTGCAGTGGCATGAGCAAACAATTACAAGGCTGCACCTGTGCACCCCTTTAACAGTTCCACTCCGCAGCAAACAATAATAATGATGCTATTTATATATCCATGAGAGGCTCACCGAGTCACAGGACTTGTCCGGGAAGGTCCTGCATTAGTATGCCGAGTCAATTCCATCGATTCGTGTGTTTGTGTTGGAAAGAAATCCAGTTAAAAACCCATTAATGTGAGAATAACTCCCAAAGCTCTGCACAGATGGGTTTTTAAGCCATTTGCTGTACTGTCATCTCCTGGCCACCATGCATCCCAGCCAGTTTGGCGTTTCACAGATACAAACTATCACGTAACCCTTGCCTTGCAAACACTGTGTTACAGGCATACATCAACCACCCTTAATAAGCCAATCGTGTGGCAAGACAGAATTGCGTATCCAGTGGCCAGCTGTTAAATTGCCAGGCTGACTAGTTCAGAGATGAAGCGGAAATGTTGGGCTTATGTCAAGTCTGCATGCATATTAGCATCAATTCCATCGAGATCAGGGGACAATTTCAGAAGTTGGATCCACACCAGGTGCTCACGGTCAAATAATGCCATATTTAGCTGAACACCCAGATTTTAATAATATTGAATCACTTGCAAAAGCCACTGGTAAAACAACACCATAATAGCAGTTTACTAAAATGAGAATTACACTGAGAGATAGGAAGGGGATTTGCCAATTATTTGCAAGCTAGAGAACATCACAATGACTTAAGTGAAGTTTCATGGGCCAGAACACGTCAGAAGAAGGGAGGATGCCCGGTGGTCGAGACGAGCGATGGAGTGACAGTCAAATGACAGAGCACGCCTTGAGAAGGTGATCCCGCTGCAGGGATGGAGTGATGAAATCAACTCGTGTTAGATGGATTGTTGCATTGCGAGATGGTGAGAGATGGGCAACAGTTTCAGGAGGCATTCATCCAGCAGTAGACAGATTAATTCTCGAATAATGAAAGGTAGAAGTCAGATGAAGATTAAGGGGGGGCATATCTGGGGTAAAGTTGAAAGGTGGGGCCAGTCAGGAAGCTCCGGGAACCTGCTAGAAGGTTCTGGAAGGGGTTGTGGCCGGAGGCGGGGCTTGGCCGTACCGGGGTGTATATAAGGGGGACCCGAACCAGAGGTTCGGTCCTGTTGCGGGTCCTGCGCCCTGGCTGCGTTGCTGCTCGGCGTCGTCTCTCTTGGTCGTCCGGCCACGTGGCCTATCTTCTGCAAGGCTCTCATCGTCGCCGCGCTAGTCAGACAGCTGTGTAGTTGGACGCTGACGATGGGATTGTGTAGAAGGGTCGGCTATGTGTAGCTACGTAGAACGTTACATTGAAGTGCATAGATGTATCGCCCAGTGTTGTGCTTAAAGTGTGAGAATAAATAAGAAGCCTTCTACATGACGTGTCTCATTAGTCGCTCACGACACATTTTTAAGCATCAATGTAATCGTATTTCTGTGTGTATATTGTGAGTAATGATTAACGTCACACTTGCAGCCACTGTAGGTGCTTCCTTATACCGCAATGTCATAAAAAGGAAGAACACCCATAAAATGCTTTTCAATGATGCATTTGTCCTCCTCGTAAGCACTTCATGAGCGATCATGACGATACCCTATCCTGTGAACAAATCACCAGGAAAGTGATTGATCTCATCAGATCTCGGAGGCTAAGCAGTGTTGAGCCTAGGCAGTGCTTGGATAGGTGGCCCTCCAAAGACAAAGATCCCCATAGAGCCTTAACAAACTGTTGGGGCAAGTGCTGTTAGCGAGCACCCATGAAGGCTGTAACGGCACACGAGGGGGGTGGGTGGCCAGCACAACGCCAGGCCGCCTTTGTCTCCCCAGTGGCGATGTTTACACACCGCACCAGGTACTCATTTGAGGCCGAGTCGACCTCACGAATTGACTCGGGTCACCGGGCTCTTAGCGCAGCGCTGCGCCAACCGCTACACAGTACTGCTGGGTGACCCTCCATGCACAAACAGACGGGTGTAATAGGCCCTGCGGGGAGGAAGAGGGCGGCCATAGCAAAATCCCAAACGCTGTGCTCCATTCCTCCCACCTTCACACCAACCCGCACTGACAAGCGTGGTGAAGAAGTACGGTCAAATAACTCCCAAGACCCGTGAGGCGTCGGAGAGGTCCTGATCCAGCAGCGGAATGACAAAAAACAGGCTGATCGTGCACAATAACGTGACGCTCAAGCCGCATAGAATGATGACGTCACACGTCAATGTGCTTTGTGATGCCGATGGGTGACATCATATGCAATGACGTAATTTGGGAGGGGAAGCGGGGAGGTGCGCACTTCCTTTTAGCGCTGGATTTTCGTTTATTCCTTTTAGTGTTTGTTTTCCAAATTTTGGCCAATCCTTTGAAAAATTTGACCAGTTTTTAGTGGGGTAAAGCCCAAACAGCAACACGACTTTATACTAAACATTGATTAATATTAGACCATCTTCATGACTTTTCATGCGCCTCACATGTTACAGGGCAAATACATTCACCCTTTCAAACTTCCATTGGAAAGCATTAAACACAACCAATTCTTACATTACACAGTGACTATTTGTTTAATTGCCGGGATGAGAATCCTTCCACCACGTTTACACAGCACTTCAACTAGACGTCCACATATGATGTGCAGCGAATGTTTTAATGCAGTATGCACACGTGCCACGGTTAAGCTTAAGGCCATATGTACGCAGCCTTTATGCGAGAAATGAGAAACTCAAGAAGCTTAGCCCTATCTATGGAAGCCATGTGTCTCCAGCGCTGTCCCGTTTAGGACAAAGAGGACAAGCCAAGGTGCATTCGGATCAATGAAAAAAATGCAGGAAATGCACTACTTACCAACAGTTGAACGTCAATCAGACCTCAGCAGGCCATCTGCTCCATTCAGCAAAATCATTATCATTAAACTCGTCACGTAATTGCTGTCTTTTCACAGCAATTTCCAAAGGCCGTCTGAATTGTCCCTTGTCTTGCTGTGTAATCTTTGATACCTCATCTCGTATTTGCAACATAAACTCGTTATCATTACAGATTTTGCTCGTCTCCAGTAATGACATTATTTGTATAACCTTAATAAGGATTGTCTATACATCACGTTAGACCCATAAAAAAAACCGTGACCTTTATACAGTGCGTCACGCCACTTTGCCCGACGATTAACCATAAACGTATTCTTTATTATGTGTTAAATAGCCCTTAAGTAGCAATCATTTGAATAAGCACAGCCCATTGTGCAACAGTAATTCATGAACAGGGATCCTCTTTGTTAATTTCTCCACTACTTCCCAGGTCCATTCCTGCGAGTGTTTGAACGTCTTTGTTGGCCGAGTGGCGGCAGTGATAGCTTGCCCCGAGTTCTGTAACTCATCTCTCCTCTGGAACCGAGGAGTAAAAATCCGAACTTGCCCTAAACGGGAAACGTCGCGATTATCCCAACGACCAGCAGGCACACGGCTGACACTCGCACACATAAACCAGACCACCACGGAGAAATGAAATCCGTACACGGATTTTAAAAATATTTTTTCCTGTTGTCTCTTATCAGATTTTTTTAGACTTCCGTAAATGATAATTATGCAATCCACCCAGTGGCCCCTGGATTCAATCAGCCTGTGGCTCGCCTGCTTACAGTATGCACCTGCAAAGTGGGAGTGCAGCACACAGCTTTTTTCGTCTGTCTTCTTCTTCTTACTGGCTTCCCAAGCGCATACCGAAGAGCACACCCCCCCCGCAAGTACTTCTCCATTATAGAAATTCTCCAAGTTGTTTCAAAGAACAAATCACCTCCAACGTAAACCACAGCCCCAAAGCACGTCCCACTACGTAACACAACCACTCACTACCACCAACCCCTACGAAGACAACTCAACCACTCTTAACGTCCGCCACGATCCCAACACATGACTCGACACTGATCACAACTCAAAAAACTCAAATCAACATGAACATTTTAGGTACAGCCTGGGTCCATGAGACCCTGCATCGTGTCTTAGGTATACATGTCCGGCACCCGTGCGTGCCGTTATGCAAAACACGTAAAATATTTTTACATAAAGGGGGCAATGTGTAAAGCTTTTGTGAGCAAACACACATCATTGCTTGAATGGGCATCATCCAGAGCCGAGAAATGTAGCCAGAAATCCAAGTTTTATAACCCTACTACAATCCCACACCAAGCCCAGTGCCAGCTACAACCAGCACACCTCTCCTCAACAGAGCTACCATGACACGAATAAGCAATGCCAACACACAAACCTCGACCGCATGATCTGTCACAGCCCCAACCCCTCTAACACACCCATCTACTCGAGCCCTCGCATATCACCCCACCCCCCCGGAACTTGCAACGCGCACCTGCCACAAGACACACCGATACAGAGAGTCACGCAGCGAGCAGCGATGATGCCGCGCTAACCTTTTGAGGACGAAGCGCCTTTGCCCCACAAGAGAGCCGGCTATGCCACCCGACCCCAACAATTGCTGCTCAGAGCGGGACGGAGATTGACTGTGTTGCACTTGAACTGAAAAAAAAGCAACAGAGCTTACAACGGCACTGTCCACGCGTACTGTATGCGCCTGCTGACACGGGCGATTCTAGGTGGGCCCTTGACATCCAGCGCACAGATGAGCACCCTTTAAATATTAAAACGGATGTTCAGACTGTCTCCACAACCCCCCACTAATGAGGCGCTTAATAAGCAAGTACAGAGACGGCAGAGAGGTTTCTCTTTAATCCCAAAATAATCACCCCAACGCTGCCCACAACCAAACGAGATATTCGTTATTCAGAAGACAAACCACAATGTAGGATGGTCAGTTTAAAAAAAAAACATGAAAATAATGCACGATACCACAAATTCTATTACCACTGTGCAACTCGTAAATAATGTTTGGGGATTCTTTGGAACAATTCCATTAATTTACCAAGCTCAAGCATCCAAAATAAGACGGTCCGGACCCGGTGTTCCGAACAGCAAAGATACAGAGGGAACAGTGGGTGGCATGTACGAAAACGAAAGGAACAAAATTCCCGGCGACTGAAAATCCAAGCGCGATTTCCTGCAAACGCACTGCCGAAATGCAATCGGCACAGAGAGCGCACAACCACTGGCAGTGCTCTTAGGGCATGGTGCGCATAACGGACCCAAAAAAAAAACACAATCTCCCGCAGTGTCTGTGCTTAGAAGCAAAGCTGCTGTCGCCAAGGGTTTGAAACTCTCGCACGCTCACAGGCACGCCACGGACTCACCTTTTCCGCACGCCGGCCTGCGCATCGCTTTTCTCTGTTTGCACGGTCGGCACCTGGGAGTCGGCAGTGTCGTTAGCACCCCCCCCCGGTCCCACTGCCTAACGTCAGAGCCGCCTGCAGCAGTGGGCTTCACTGCACGTGGGAACTGCGACCTACCACTGGTACAGACCAGCACGGACCACTGGGCAACTTTGTTGGAAAACAAAACATTAATACGTATTTTATATTAATGTTCAACTAAAAAAAAACTCAAAAGCTCCGCACCCCTATTTGGAGAGGCGTTAATGATGCGTCGTTATACACCGGCGTATACTTTTCTACTGACACGAATACAGCAGAAGCCCGATCTGTTTGAGGATGTGGACGCGACCATTCGACTGGAGGGGGTGGGCGGAGTTTAGAGCTCGGACGATCTCGGTCGCAAAAAACCCAAGCGCAGAAACACGTCATCGCACGAATAAAAAATATATTCGTGTAACCTATTTTACGTTCACGTTATTTTATTATAAAACAGATAGATTTTTTTTCCCATTGATTTCCAGTTGATGAGTTCACCATTAATTCGTATTTTAAAACCCAACTCCAGCCACCACCGTCCAGAATTCCCATAACATGCAACTCATTTTCTTGCTCCCAGCACGCAGATCACCAGTGAGTGTCGCATGCCAGAATGTACCAATTAGTATTGGCACTGACGGGGCTGAGCAGGCACAGGCAAGAGGGACGGGCAAAGGAAGCAGAGTGACACATACAACTTGCCAGCCAATGTCTCTCCGACTGCAAAACAATCGATTGATTTGTTCCCCGTGCGCAAACGCTTTTCGATGGGCTAAGGTGATCGGGGATGCTTCGAGCAGGGGAAATTGGGCACGGGAGGGGAGGTGTCGGAGGTGTCGAAGGTTTGAATGGACGTGTGCCCATCAAGGCGATGGCTAAAGCGGCGCAAACAAAAATCTGCTCGAGCGGGCTGAGCCACGGGAGGTGAACACGTCGCACCTGGCGCAGCAGGGCGTCACACACAAAAAAAACAGCGCCCGAGATACTCCCCAGCCAATAATGTACCGCCAGTCCCGTCGTGAAAGGAATGCAACGGTGCCCGATGCGTTGGCATCCCACATGACGGGTAAACGAAACGACGCTGGCGCAACAACGAATGGGACGCGCGAGGACGTTATTAACAATCATGATTAAAAAAATTGTACATTTGGCATTCGTGCCATTTTTTTAACAACGGAAATGCTATCGTGAAAGAAGGCGCTACGTTTCACAAATATAGCCTGCTGGACTATGAGCATGCGCCACCACACCTGGCTATAAGTGGAAGATGGAGTGGAGGGCACACTGTGATGGTGGTGGACACAGAGGTGGAGTGGCCAAAAGAAAGAACGACGGTGAGTTTCTTGGACACTGTATGTTGAACTTCTTTCGCACCGTACGCCGCCACTGGCAATTGTGAGCGCTGCGGTTTCACTTTCACTCACCTTTCATCGTGCCTTCTTTATATTTTGATAGCACAGTAACCGGGAAGAGCTGCATTATCCATTGTTGTGCTGTCCCTCTGCAGTCCTGCGACTGCGCTTCCTGCCGCCACAAACTTACCCCTGATCGGTGTAGTGAAGTATGAACAAATAAACCCCCACAACCAGCATGGGAAAGCCCTCATCCAGCAGTGGATTGACCAAGGACTGGACATGTACAGTCTGCCTTCCATCGACTTTGCTTTCACACCAATAATTACTTTGGTCGCTCATCATGAGAATCATATTTTTTAAAGCAGTTAGCACAATACTGGAAGCAATTAGAACTTCAAGCTGATCCCATCCTACAAATTAAACCATTCAAGGCTCCGGGTTATAAATATTTGGGTGCCCAATTTTAAAAAGATATATTTTGCGTTTGAATTTTTCAAATTAAAAGCAGACTTAATTATACTTGTGCAAATTGTCATATTTATAGCCCTTGAAGAATATCGTTAAGATTTACAGACGCTAGTGTTTTTACATATGTAAAATATAATTTGTTTATAAGTCCAAGTACAACGACACACTCTGCAAGTCCCTGCGTGTGTTTTGTGTGTATACCTATAATTCTGCACGAGTATACATGCATACACACGCAGTGCGGTGTAGGTTATGAGTATGGCATATATGATTAATTGATGTTCTTTATTTAAACACGTAGGAACCTAATGATATTAATCATCTCATTTACAAGGGTGTTTTTGGATAGCCTTAGAAAGGACAGCTATTAATAATTTATTTTGACCTTTTGTGAATAATTCTCCAATTGAGGACACGAGTTCACAATAGCCTGTGAAAAAACAAAATATCCACTTTTAATATTCAGCTCATTTGCTACTGGGATTTTAAGCTGAAGATAATGGCTAACTATAGGATCTTGAATAAACAATGCTATACAAACCAGCCCAGCGATAGGCGCGCCAACCCACCATATTACGCGTGTAATGTACACAGATTGAACACCATTGATCATATGCCAAGTATTGCTTGACAGCAGTTTTGACCCAGATCAATGTGTCTACTCAATACCATAGCACTTTTGGATATCGTTTAATATTATACATCCGGTATGGGTTTTTTTTCCCCCAGAAACGCTATGGTCTACGTTAAACACTAACTGTTTTGCTTCATGGAAGATTAAATTCCAAAAAAAGAAAAAACAATCAGCTCATAGGAATAAAAACAATTAAAGTTTGTAGAAGATAAACAGTCAGAACGCCATTCCGTGCCACCACATGAATAAATTGTGTTTGTCCATCACTCTATTGGCTTCCAAGACCAATATCATTAAGCAGCATTTGTTTAGGCAAGCAAAGAGCCAGGCTTAACCAAAGAAAAAGTCCGAAGCATTATATCTGTACTTGGAATATATCACTGCAGTAATGTTGCTGAAGCGCACAAAACAAAAAAAACGATTGCCATGTGGGCATGCGGCAGAGTGCCTGGGTGCATTTGTACAAGGCAAGAGGACATTTGTTTGGCAGTTTGCATCTTTTAAAGGAAATCCAAAACTAACCCACAGCTAGTACGGCATCCCCCGACCTACAGCTGAGTCGAGGCCACACAGCGGAGAAACTCGACCGAAACGACACCAACATCCACATGCATAATGCTTCCCTGCTGCGCCACTGCATATATAAGCAGCCACCAGATGGGGATGCCTAAATTGATTGTGACCATCCGGTAAACACTTTACAGAGAGGTGGACAAAAACGGCTTGCAGTTCGTCGCACGTTTCATCCACCGCAGTCAGAGATCGTACGGCCAAAGGCGACAGCGGCTAACGTCTCGGCCGACACGCACGAGGAATGAGAAGGAATTCAAGTGTTTTTTTATCATCACGCCGCCGTCAAAGCCACTTACGTTTTGCAGAGGACACCAGTAAAATTGATAAATGGTAATTACCGGAAAACTTGCAATCTTTACACGAACACGTCCGGGGAGTAAATTACGCGGCACACCTTTAAAAAAAAGTCTCACTTTCATGCACTTCAATGGATAACAGAATGCACACCTGTTGTTTCACTTTATTGACAGTATTTCATTTAGTTTTTCCTCAAGAATAAGAGGATTACGTGCAGGCACAATGCTGGTAAAGTGTCCTGGGGACTGAATCAAGCAAGCTTTGTGAACAGCTGATTGAATATTACAATTGGTGCATGGATGAGTGGGCATGCGCCGCTGTTTGATGAGCTCTCCGTGTTTAAACGAACCGTTATTCTTCTCACGGAACACATGGGGGTTTGGGGGGGGGGGTTTCGGAGCCTTTTATGCCAAAGAGAGAGCAAAATTATTCCACAAAGCTCTTTGTGTTTCTTCCCCACCCCCTCCACAACACTTTTGCACCGGGTGCATTTTACGCTGCAGTCCGGTATACACCGGTGGAGAGTTTTTGTTTTACTGGTGACTCAAAACAAATATCTCGCCACCATCATCATGATCAGCCGTGATCAGCCAATCCACTGCTGGATGAAGGCCTCCCAAAGCTGCCGCCGTCACCACCTCACACGATTCCTGCGATGCAATAATCCATCCTCGCTCCATCATTATTCCTAATCGCCGCCCATCAACGCCGTATGCTGACAGGCCCCACTGCCTTTCATCGATAGTTTGTTTGCACGATGTCGTGGACCTGCGTGCGTTCTCGAAACGGCGAAATGCGCGACCATAAAGAGGCGCTATGAACCCGGACGAAACCGCTGCCGATCGCATTCGCTCCACATGGACGCATGTTAGAAAAAAAATATTGAAGAATAAATTTAAACGGTATGTGAAACACAGTAAACCGTGCTACTATGCAGCAGCATCATAAACTACGGTCAATGTATTAACTTATTAAATACTTTAATGTGAAAATTGTATTTACCTTACTTCGTTTATTATAACCAATTTTTGTCGGGCATAATGTTTAGGAGTTTACTTATATATTTATTTAAGGCGATTCATGAAAAAATATAGATTTTCACAGGCCAATATTATTTTCCGCGAATTATGCTATTCACGTGTCTCCCGAACGTAACCCTCGCGAATAACGAGGAACCGATGTCAACAACAACAAAAAGTGGCACTGCTGAAATGTTCCTGGCGGCTGCATTCTCAGTTGACGATATGCCAAAACTCACAACCACTACACTCCTTTGTAGGGGGGGGGGGGGGCATTTTAGTGGCATCTTCCAGAAGGGGGCGCATATATCTGTGGCTAAATCAACGACACTTGAAATGTGGGTGCGTTTACACCGTAGTATATGCCGCTAAACATTTTCACTGGTTATAATCAAAAACAACGACAGTGCCCTACATCATCATCATCACCACGATCAGCCATGGGCAATCCACTGCTGGATGATGGCATCTTCTAGAAGAGGACGCACGTCTCCAAACATCCGTCCCTCTAAAATGGCAAGATCAGCGTACCTACAAACACGACCACATTATGCAAAAACAGCGTCCACTCTTCCCAGCAGTCCAGAGCGCTGACATGAGGATGATGATGACTTTCGGAAGATGCCAAGGGAATACAATTAAAAATCAAAACGCCGCCCTCTCTAAAACATACCACTGGCGGGCATCCAATGAGAGCGGAGGGGAAGCCGTCGCGCTGGCAAGGATGCAGCCAATGGCAGCGCACGCAACAATGACAACACACAGACAGACAGACATGTGTGGCGAGTTGTTTTTGTTTTAGCAAAAGACTTCCTCTCCGTGTGAGACGCTCCCTTTCGTTAACTCCCAGGGTTGTTACGCTTATTAAAAATAAGAACGCGCCTGCCGCGAGAGAGAAATATATTAGACTTTTTGCTGTTGCGTCTCTAAAAAAAAAACCTGTCGCCTACAAACGGTCGAAATAAAATCCTCTAGCGTGAGAAACACGACTCAACAGACAGATGGCTCAATGTGGGAGTCTACACAATACATTAACAATACTGTGCATATGCATAAGCACAAACAAGAAGCAATATACAGCGACTGGCATCATTCATTGCAATACAATACTGTTGACAAATATGTAAAACACGCGCACAAAATGAATGTTCAGCCCTTTGCCAACCCATTGCTTGACGAGTGCCTCCCCATGCCGTGCTGGATTTAATGGGCCATACTTCCCCATATTTGTCAGTGAAAGTTGGTGAATGCGGGGAGCATAGATGTGGCAGGTTCGAATACGGTACATGGAATATTGCTACACCTGCCTCCACTGTACACCCAATTGAAAAAAATAAACTATTTATATTTTACAAAAGTAAGGCCCACTGAGCTGTATAGCTCTTTTTCAGCAGCGACCTGGCCACAAATGATAGCTCGACCAAGTGGCTTATCACGTGGAAATTTATTGTACTCTCAACGCACGTTCCTAAAAGTGGAGGGAATATCCAGAGGACCCGGAGAAAAACCTACGCGACCATGGGGAGAACATGCAAACTCCAAATATACAGGCGTCAGGGTCAGGATCGAACCCACGAGACCTCATGCATACCAAGTGAGGTAGTTAACATCTCAGCAGGAGCCCGGCAACAACCTCTTACGCACCGTGGTTGCCCATTCAAGCACCATCCAAGTTCAAACCTGCTTTGCCTTCGAGATCTGACGAGATGGGGTGCAATCCGGGCGAAATGGTCACAAGCGCACGGTACACACCTCCCACTTTGGTGCTCTCCGCAAGGCATGTCGCACTCTTCCGTAAGGCTCCTTGATATGCCATCGCATTCAGATGCTAAAGAAAACCGCCCTTCCAAAAATGGAATCAAAACTTTGACTAAGTGTGCAATGGCCCAACTCTAGGAGTCAGCTCACACCAAGCAAACGTCGGCTGCCTCGTCTTTCCTTGCATACGACGATACAGTATGTGCAGGAGCTAAATGCCAATGTAGAGGTCTGCTAGGTATGAGAGATCTTCAGGAGAGAGTATGCATAGTTGTGCAATTCCCCCTCTTGTTAAAGGAGCATCGCAGCACTACAGCGGTTCACTATACTGTCCACAGTGTGCGGTTTGCAGGGCCACAGTCGGGACTACTCTACGGTGGGTGGCTTGTAAATTTTCTGGCTGCCTTGTGGCAGCATCGAGCACAGCCCTATGCTGCAACCTCCCCCTACAGGTAAGCATAGGGGCTTACAGCGCATCAGTGTTTACTTTGTAAACGAAATCAGTGACACGTGTATTCTTCCATGGAGTGTATCAACGAATGCTCCGAGTGCACGGAAATCGTCAAGCATGACGTTCACAACGACTACCCACCAACGATCTAAAGCGTGACTGGATTTGATGAGACTAAGTTAACGAGACGTGAATGAAGCCGCAGACTGAGATCATTTAGTAACGTCATTGGAGACTGAAGCAAACGGCACAAGACAAAACATGCGACACTAATTGGCTTTACTGTATATGTATATATGTATATACAAGGATGAATTCATTTAGGAAGGTTTAAAAAGTGAACAACTAACATTTTATAACTAAAAGTGACTACATTTCTTGACTGTTTTAGACGCTTGTGTTGCGCCCGAAACGTCGTGATTTATTTTAGTTTTATACCTACGTGACTTTACCGAAAGAACCAAAGAGTATGGATTCCTGCAGTCACGGAAGCTTCAAATCAAGATTAGACACGGAGAATCAGTGACAAAGAGAATGAGTAAAAAACGACAAAAATTTCAAAGGTTACCAAACTCGTCATTATACATTACTGTGGAGTATTATGGGTCAAATGAAATAGAGTAGAAGCATGTCCATCAACCTCTGGGTTTACCAGACGAATATTTTCAAGCAACATTTGTTTAAGCAAGCAAACTCTGGATCGGATTCAACAATCTGGGTCCCGTTAGCAGATTCAGACTTGTTAAACAAATGCCCGCTCAGGTTGCCAGATATGATTGGCAAGAGCACTCCGATATAAACTATGGGACCCCATTCAACGCAAAAAGCAATACAGCACACTAAACTCGATATGTGTTGCTGTGGAGTTTCATAGGAAAACACTAAAATACTCAATTGTTCTCTGTCACAATCCAAGTGATTTCCTGGTCAAATGAGCATTGAGGTGGTGCCTATTTCCCGTTTATAGACTGGGGACAAGTCTCACTGGTGACTTGTCTACAAAATGGTACTTATTGTATCCACCCCGGAGAGATGATAGGCTGAGTCAAACCCCCCCCCCCCGCGCCAACCAGGATTTGACCTCGCAACCTTCCAATTCTGAGCAGGAGGTTTGACTAAGCCCATCATCCCTCCGAGGTCAATAAAATTACTCCCACTTTGTGGGGAAGTTAACCGCGGAACTCTTGCAGCGAGCCACCTGCCCGACTCATCTGTACCGCTACGTTAAAATACATGTATTTTTGCGTCTAGATATTTATATGTGGAGCTACGAAAACCGAGTCCTTGCTGGCCTGTGCTTTTGACTAAATTATCTCCGCTCTACACAGACGTGGGACGCGGGGCAGCCCCACGTGGTGCCGGCACGCTCCCAGCAGGGGGGGCTACAGTTACATGGCTCTTAAGCGCAATGGGGGGGGGGGGGGCTGTTCCGGTGGAGCCACAACCACCACCACCACCCACCACCACACAAATTAAACACAAAGGCTGATCCTACCGGGCAGTGAGCCCCCCTCCTCCTCCCACCACTTCCCACAAAGCAGCAGGAGAGCAGCCAATGATATGTAAGTGGAATCCAATTTACCAAGACGGAGTTGCAAAGCTGCAAAGGATTAAGAACGAGTGGGGGATAGGCAATGAGAGGGGGGAGGAGGTCTTCGATGGCCTCCCACGCACATCACATTGGTTGAACGAGTGCCGAAGAGTGTAACAGAGTGGCCACAAAGTCCCTTTACGTTAGAAAAAAAAAACAGAACAGCATCTCTATTCGCAAAGCTCCACGTGCTGCCCTCCTCCATTCTCAGCACACAGCTGGATTCGTGCCCAAGTTCCCCTTGACGGATTCTTCCAAGCGGATGGCTACGTACTGTAAATACAGTTACTGGACTGATGATTTTGAGCTCATCCAAAATTTGTCCAATGCCTAGCTTGCCCTGAGGAATTGTAGACAGTGCTTACGTTACATTGATTTTAAGTCGACCTCGCCGTGGATGACAGCCCATTTGCCAAGTAATATGGGGTTGTCCATCAAGGTATCACCATCATCGTTAGCCATGGTCAATCCACTGCTGGATAAAGGGCCTCCCCCACCCAAGCAGCCACTACCACCACCTCTTCACGATCCTGCAATGTAATAATCCACCCAGCACCTCCACACGCGCCAATTGAATTTCCTCCTCAATGCAGCACGGCCTTGTCGTGGGGTAAGAGGCTCGAGTACATGGTGGACCTGAGGAGCTGGAAATGTGACAGGCGCAGCCGCACCAGCCGGGTACTCGGCGAGAGACAAGATGTAATAAGTTCTCCCTTCACCCGGAGGAGTGTGAAGTATGGTTAACCCCCGGCCATTAACGACGAACCGAAATCACATCATAATTTGTTAAACAATCACATTTAGAGACAGCACTGTCGGTAAGGTTGACACAATTACTTTATACGCGCACGTGCCCACACTTGCTTGTGTGAAGACTTTATCGTACAAGACGCCTCCCTCTAAACCTTCCACCATGGCATTGGTGATGCACGTCGTATCGAGATTTGAGAGAATTCTGGGTATTCGCCAACGTCTCGTGCATCTGATTTTTCCCGAATGCTTCCGTTACTTGCTGCCGAAGATCAACCCGAACATTTCAGAGTTTTATTGGCAATCACTATCTTTCGCATCGCCATAAGATTCAACCACGCGGAACAAACTCCTGTCCAATCAACACTTTCGTACTGAACACAATGATCGACACCCCATATGCAATTCACAAAAAGGCACCAATACACGTGTAACAGCCCAATGGCAATCCACTGCTGGAATCGGCAACCAAAATAACAAGAGCAGCCATTCATTTTGTCGAATTCGGTAAAAAAAACCCTCAATATTTCAAGAGCCGCAATGCACTGTGGTGAATACGAGACGGTGGTCGTGAATAAATAACGTCACGAGCCAGTCCGTAATGACCCACCGCCGCACGCGGCTCCAGAGCCCGCAGGTTGCCGACCCCTGGTCACGGGCGTTTTTAGGCCATACATCACTACAGGCCGGTCACTGCGGGTCGGTGAAGGAGAGCCACATGTGTAGGAGCACAGGAGAACGGTACAACAATGGGTTTTACAGCACTGCCCTCTGTTGCCCATCACGTAACCCCACAAGCTTGTAACATCTGTTATGCAGTGGTTGCTCATCCAAGCATGGATCCAGGCACAGCCGTGCTTAGCTGCTCTCTAGAGATTTCGCACATTCCTGGCGGTTTGCCCAAAGGCAGGTAACAATTACAGACTTTAAAAACCTCTGACTAAACAATGAGCTACAAAATGTGACATTAAAAAAAGACGTTCGACTCAGTACTTTATCCAAATGAGTTAAACCTTTTCGAAAAAAATACAGTGCTCATTTTGGCGATCAAATTAACGTAAAAGGCTTACCCGTCACTCAAATTGCCGCCAACAACAAACAAAACAGAATCCATTTTTGGCGATCGCTTACAGCGCTTACTTTAATAATTTAAGAAATTAACCAATCACGCGCCGAGTATACTGCTCATTAAAGAACACTTCACACCACGCCAACGATGACTATGAGTGTGTGGGATTCATGGTGTGTAACCTTTAGCCTCTGAGTTTTGGGTCCAAACAGCCCGCTGGCGTTAATTATTAACACAATCTAAGGCGGCAAATAAAATCACACTGATATGAGCAAGGGGCAAATGCACACATTTTGCTTCAGTTATCTTGCAAAGGCTGCCCACAAGAAAATATAACATCACGTTTTTACTTATGCTGAAACTTTTGTAACAGGGGCAGACCTCGCTTAGCGGCTCAAGATGCGTTCCTGGAGAAGGGAGCGCTAATCGAATCAGCGCTGTATAAACTAAACGATAAACTATTTTTATTTTACCAGGTAAGGCCCGATGGGATATATAGCTCTTTTTCAGAAACAACCTGGGCTCAATGAAGTGGCTTATCGTGTGGAAATGTAGAGCAGCCAAATACTCGAAAACGCATGCCTCTAAATGTGGAGGGAAAAACCGGAGGGTCCAGAGAAAAATCCACGTGACCACAGGGAGAGACAAGCAAACTCCAAATATACAGCAGCAGCAGGCGTCAGGGTCGGGATCGAATCCACGACCTCCTGTATACGAGGCGATGTAGTTAAAATCTCGCCACCGTGGCGCTCATACATGGGGATGCGTTACC